GGCAGGGCGCGTGCGATGATTCCCCCATGGCAGCAGAGGGCGCTGTGGTGCGAGCTCGGGGGGTCACGTAGTAATGGCGGCTTGGCCGAGATTGGAAGGGATGGAGGAAAGTCTTGGCTTTACAAAGTCTGAGGGGCAGCTGATCCCAGTGTCCCAGCTGGACTCTTGGGATCTGCAAGCTCGAATGGCAAGAATGAGTAAAAATCCCGTGTTGGCGGATGAAATATATTGCAAGCTCTGCTGCTGTGGCTGTAACTACAGGATGTCTCAGCAGAAGTGGGCTGCAATGCACCAAAACCCAGAGTAGCAACAAAGAATCAGCAGGAGGCCAGGAGCGGCAGCCTGGCTCCAAGCATTGTACAGACAGGAGTGGTGGATATTATGAGCATCTGAACATATGGTGAAAAGTCCCTCTTTTACTGAGGTAGAGTGTTAACAAGGTCCCAGTTCAAAGCCTGCTCTTTTAAGCAGAGATCTACCCATGGCTGAAGAACAGCAGCTGGAGATGAAACCATGCAGTGGTGATGAATTCTCCCTATAGCGCTGCAGTCTTTTTCCCCTCTGAAAGGTGAGAGAGAGAAAGGGTGCCAGGGGCTGCACCCAACCCCATTTTCCCACTCCAAATATCTCGACAAATCTGGCCTACAGGAGAAACCTACAGATAAGAGATGTGCAGCCAGATGCCCTCCTCCCCTGAGACTGGCCATTCTTATGTCATTCTCTACTACCCAGTCATAAATATTTTGTAGCAAACTATGGGGAAAAAATTCCTTATGTTAAAAGCATCAAACAAAAAGATTCTAACCCTCAACAGTGCTACAGGGAAGGGAGAAACACTCAGCTATCCTGTGTGGGTAGATTCAACTGCCATATATCTCAGAGCAGAGCAACACCTGAATCTGGGGTCCTTTGGTCTAAGAACCATTTTTGGGGGGGGGGATCAGCCCAGCTCCACAAGCACCAGGTTTCTGAGATGTAAACGTGTGTCTGGCAATTGCCTGGACAGGAGTAGCTTGTGTCCCACCCTGGCCATCAGCAAAGTTCCACCAGAAGGGGATCCAATGAAGGATAACAATCTGCAGAAGAGGGCAGGCTGCCTTGGTGTCTCTCCCTCCCAATAAAACAAGAAATGGAGAGTGCAGGAGACAGAAGCTGATTTCAGTGCCAGTTGTCGGCGAGATTCAAGCCATGACCATTCCGCTGTGGATTCCATACAAAGTGCTATTCCTGATGGAAAAGGAAACATTTCTCTCTGAGATCATGAACACTCCAAGGAAGAGTCCTGCTGCTCTGACCTGCACATGCCTCAGGAGGGTAACACAAGCACAGAATAAGGCACAACTGCTCAAAGAAACCTGTCTGGAATAATGCAATGATCTGCATGTTCCTAGAGAGCCAGCAAAGAGTCAAAAACGGACAGAAAAACTGTGCAGCTCTAGGAACTGTGCAGATGAGATACTGGGGACATGTGTGGCAAAAAACTACTCACGTATCCTTGAGAATGATCAGGCCTTAGACAACTCCTGGTATTTCCAGGGGACTCACAGAGAGGGCATAGAAAGACCATGAGCCAAATGGACCAACACAATTTTTCTCTGAGCACTCTTTGAGTAGATAAAGGGTCCAACCCGCCCAGCTGATGCAGAGCTTTGTGCAACAGTGAGTGACCATCATGGAGAGATGGGAAAAGCAACAAAAAATGATGTATCATGATGCCTCACATGGCAGTCCTTGGGCATGTGGGCAAGAAGCACGAGACTGACGCCCAATTCCTGACAACCTGGACAAAACCAAACCCACAGGAATGACACAGGTGAACATATTTGTCCACAGCGGATGCTGCCAAGTGATGGTCAGAGCATGCCAAATGCACCTGGCATTGGTTTTGCCCAGGAAACCTTTGAATCTCTCATTCCAGCATTTACAGAAATGACCCTTCATGTAGGAAAGCACAGAGAATTAGCCGGGAAATGAAAAGGCAGCAGTGCAGGAAACCAGGACACAGCCCCTAGCATTAACTGGGATGGTCCACATTTGACAGGTACTGGTCAGAAAATTATAACTTCCACAGAGGTGCCTGTGGGCCTGAGGCACGGCAGGACTGGTATAAAAGGCAGCCCAAGTCTCTGCTCTCTCATCCACTTCTCTCACCTCCTCCTCCTCTTCAGGAATCAGGTGAGTTGGGAGCCTCTTCTTCTCCGGCTGCTGCTGCTTCAAGACCAGCTGTTGCCTGGCTGGAGGTCTCAGCTGAGAGGAGCTACAACAGGCGAGGGCTGTTGCAAGGCTTGTGCTGGGAGAGGGCAGGAGAGAGAAGGTCTTGTGCAGACAGAGAGAGGCTGGGACTTGGCTCAGGTGGCTCCTGGACTTTGAGCTGGGCACTGCAGTGGGGGCCAGGAGGTGCCTTGGCTGAAGGGTGTTTGGATGCAGTGCTGCTTCTCATGTGTTATCACTTTGTGCTTCTCCCTTCCATCCATCTCAGGTGCACCTGTGACCGTGAGCCATGTCCTGCTGCAAGCCCTGTGACCCTTGCTGCCAGCCCTGTGGGCCCTGCCCGCTGGCCAGCAGCTGCACTGAGTGCTGTGTCAGGCAGTGCCAGAGCTCCCACGTTGTCATTGAGCCGCCTGCTGTGCTGGTGACCCTGCCTGGGCCCATCCTCAGCTCCTCCCCACAGAACACCGCCGTGGGATCCTCCGCCTCTGCTGCTGTTGGCAACATCCTCAGCTGTGGCGGAGTGCCCATCAGCTCTGGGGGCTTTGACATCTCCTGCATCACCAACTGCTATGGTGGCAGCAGATGCCGTCCCTGCTAAACCTGCTGGCAATGTCTTCCGGCAAGAACACCCAAGAATTCAAAGCATGGATTTGGGCAAGAAATAGTGATTCAGAAAATTTTATTTGGAGCTTTGGACCATCACTTCCTTGTTTTACTCTCCTCTCTGTTTCTGTCCCTCAGTCCCCAAGGCAGTCTAGTCAGGACCTGCCATTCTTTCTACTTCTGCAGAGCAGTGCACAAAACACCACATGGGAGCTCATCTTAGTGGCTGCTCCTGGTGCTCTCTGACAGCCATCTCCTTTTCTTCTGTAAACTTATTAAAATTGTCTTGCATTCAAGCCTTTGTGTCTGAGTCATCTGTTGTTCTGGGGCAACTTTTCCATTCTCCTCAGGAAAAATATGCAGGACGCAATGTTTGGGGCTCGCTGGAGCGGATTTTAATTTGATGGCCTTCTCCCTTGTAGCTGATGAAGAACATGCCTGGTTACTTGGCAGCCAAAGGGCATCACGGAGAATTTGGCTCCAAAGGATTGGAGATGGGAAACAACAATGCCTGGGGACAGCCCGCATCTCATCCCTTCCTATCGTTCCTTCATTGCCTGGCCTAGGGTCTGTGCCCAGCACACCTGGGAACAAGGAGATGAGATCCAAGCCTCACACAGTCCCTCAGCACTCGGCAGGGCCCAGCTGCTGCCCAGACACGCAGGGCTGAGGGGACCGCACCTCCGGGCACAGCCAGCAGGGGTGCTGCTGGCTCCCGGCCGGGCAGGGCGCGTGCGATGATTCCCCCATGGCAGCAGAGGGCACTGTGGCATGAGATTGGGGATCATGTGGTAATGGTGGCTTGGCCAAGATTGGAAGGGATGGAAGAAAGACTTTGGTTTGCGAAGCCCGAGGGGCAGATGATTCAGTGCCCCAGCTGGACTCTCAGGAGCAACAAGTTGTAAAGGCAGGAACCAGCTAAAATTTCAGGGTTTTTGACGAGAATTATCAGAAGCTCGGAGGCTTTTATTGGAACTACAGAATGTCTCAGCAAGCAGGAGCTGTGGGATTACAGCCCAGCAAAACCCAGAGCAGTGTCAAAGAAGCAGCAGGGGCCCAGCTGTGGCAGCCTGGCTCCAAGCAGAGCAAGGAAAGGTGAGGTAAGGATTCCAAGCACCTGGACATATGGTAAAAAGTCCCACTTTTAGTGATGTAGAGTGTTAACAAGATCCCAGTGCAACACCTGCTCTTACAAGCAGAGCTCCCCTCACAGCAGAAGAAAGGCAGCAGGAGACAAAACACAAAAGTGGCGACAAATTCTCCCCACTGTGCTGCACTCTCACCTCAGAAAACAAAGAGAGAAAGAGAGCCAGGGGCTGCACCCAACCCCATTTTCCCTCTCCAAACAGATCTTGGCATCTCTGGCCTCCAGGAGAAACCCTCAGAGATGAGCCATGCAGCCAGATACCCACCTCCCCTGAGCATGGCTACTTCTTTTGTCATTCTCAACTACCCAGACCTTAATCTTTCCTAGCAAATTATGGGACAAAATTCCTGGAGGAAAAAACATCACATAAAGAGGTTCTGACCCTCAACAGCACTAAAGGGAAGGGAACAGCACTCAGCTATGCTATGTAGGTAGATCCAACTGCCATATATCTCACAGCAGAGCAACACCTGTATATGGGTTCCTTTGGTCCAAGAATGATTTGCAGGATGGTCTCAGCCATACTCAGTCTGCACCACGCTGCTGAGATGTAGAGGTGCATCTGGATGTGCCTGGACAAGAAGAACTTGTGTCCTACCTTGCCACCAGCAACCTTCCACCAGAAGGGGATCCACTGAATGATAACAACCTGCAGAAGTGGGCAGGATGCCTTGCAGTTTCTCCCTCTCAATAAAAGAAGAAATGGAGAGTGCAGGAGGCAGAAGCTGATTTCAGTGCTAGTTGTCTGCCAGCTTCAAGCCGTGATCATTTAGCTGTAGATTCCACACAAAATGCCACTCCTGATGGCAAAGGAGACGTGTTGTTGAGATCCTGAACTCTCCTGTGAAGAGTCCTGCTGCCCTGACCTGCACATGCCCTCAGGAGGGTCACCCAAGAACAGAATGCTGTCTGTCTGTACAAACGCTTCAGCATAGAATGATGCAAAGATCTGTATGGTCCCAAAGAGTCAGCAAAAAGTCAGGAACAGCCAGAAAAGACATTCAGTTCTGGGAACTCCACTGACGAGATACAGGGGACAAGCATAGCAGAAAACTACTCAGTTGTCCTGGACAAAGATCTGGCGCCAGACAACTCCTGATATTACCAGAGGACCCACAGAGATTGCACAGAAAGCTGACAAGCCAAATGAGACCAACACAATTTTTCCCTGAGCACTCTTTGAGTAGCAACAGGGTCCAAACCTCACAGCAGATGCAGAACTGTGTGCAACAGTAAGTGACCAACATGCAGAGATTGGAAAAGAAACAGAAAATTATGTCTTATGAGCCTTCACATGGCAATCCTTGGGCATGTGGGCAAGGAGCACAAGACTGACGCCCATTTGCTGATATCCTGAACAAAACCAAACCCACAGGAATGACACAGGTAAACATATTTGTCCACAGAGGATGCTGCCAAGTGATGGTGTGAGCATTCTAAATGCACCCAGCATTGGTTTTGCCCAGGAAACCTTTGAATCTCTCATTCCAACACTTAGAGAAATGACTCTTCATGTAGGAAAGAACAGAGAATTAGCCAGGAAATGAAAAGGCAGCAGTGCAGGAAATCAGGACAGAATCCCTACCATTAACTGGGATGGTTCATATTTGACAGGTACTGGTCAGAAAATTATGATTCAACAAAGGTGCCTCTGGGCCTCAGGCAGGCCAGGACTGCTATAAAAGGCAGCCCAAGTCTCTGCCCTCACATCAACTTCTCTCATCTCCTCCTCCTCTTCAGGAATCAGGTGAGTGCAAAGCCTCTTCTCCTCTGCCTGCTGATGCTGCTGTTTCAAGGCAAGCTGTTGCCTGGCTGGAAGTCTCAGCTAAGATGGGCTACAAGAGCCCTGAGCTGGGAGCAGCTTGTGCTGGGAGAGGGCAGGAGAGAGAAGGTCTTGTGCTGACACAGAGAGCCTGGGACTTGGCTAAGGTGGCTCGTGGGCTTTGAGCTGGGAACTGCAATGGGGGCCAGGAGGTGCCTTGGCTGCAGGGTGTTTGGGTGCAGTGCTGCTTCTCATGTGTCCTCACTTTGTGCTTCTCCCTGCCCTCTGTGCCAGGTGCACCTGTGACCGTGAGCCATGTCCTGCTGCAAGCCCTGTGACCCTTGCTGCCAGCCCTGTGGGCCCTGCCCGCTGGCCAGCAGCTGCAATGAGTGCTGTGTCAGGCAGTGCCAGAGCTCCCACGTTGTCATTGAGCCGCCTGCTGTGCTGGTGACCCTGCCTGGGCCCATCCTCAGCTCCTCCCCACAGAACACCGCCGTGGGATCCTCCACCTCTGCTGCTGTTGGCAACATCCTCAGCTGTGGCGGAGTGCCCATCAGCTCTGGGGGCTTTGACATCTCCTGCATCACCAACTGCTATGGTGGCAGCAGGTGCCGTCCCTGCTAAACCTGCTGGCAATGACTTCCAGAAAGAACACCCAAGAATTCAAAGCATGGTTTTGGGCAGGAAATAGAGCTTCAGAAAATTGTATTTAGAGCTTTGGACCATCACTTCCTTGTGCAACTCTCCTCTCCATTTCTGTCCCTCACTCCCCAAGGCAGTCTAGTGTGGACCTGCCATCTTTCTTTCGTCTGCAGAGCAGTGCAAAGAACACCACATGAGATCTTCATCTTGGCTGCTCCTGGTACTCTCTGTGAGCCATTTCCTTTTCTTCTGTAAACGTATTAAAACTGTCTTGCATTCAAGCCTTTGTGTCTGAGTCATCTGTTGTTCCTGGGCACCTCCTCCAGTTTGCTAAAGTTTGGAAAACTTTATAGCTTGGCCTTGGGTCTGTAGCCAGCACACCTGGGAAAAATTAGATGAGATCCAAACCTCACACAGTCCCTCACCACTCGGCAGGGCCCAGCTGCTGCCCAGACATGCAGTGCTGAGGGGACCGCACCTCCGGGCACAGCCAGCAGGGGCGCTGCTGGCTCCTGGCCGGGCAGGGTGCGTGCGATGATTCCCCCATGGCAGCAGAGGGCGCTGTGGTGCGAGCTCGGGGGCTATGTGGTAATGTCCGCTTGACAAAAAGGGGAAGGGATGAAGAAAGGCTTTGCCTTACAAAGCTGAAGGGGCAGCAAATCTGGCTGCCCCAGCTGGACTCTCAGGAGCAGCAAATTTTAATGGCTGGAATGCGTAAAAATCCTGAGCTGGCGGGCATGATCTATCAGAATCTTTGTAGCCGTAGCTGGAACTGCAGGATGTCTCAGCAGGTAGGGAGCTACAGTGCAGCAAAGCTCAGAGTAGTGCAGAAAAAGCCACAGAGGCCCAACAGTGTCAGCCCAGTCCCAAGCATTGCAAGGAAAGATGAAGTCTGCATTCCGAGCAACTGAACATATGGTTAAAAATCCCTCTTTCATTGAGGTAGAGTGTTAACAAGGACCAAGTGCAATGACTGCCCTTACAAACAGAGCTCCACTCACAGTAGAAGGAAGGTCGCAGGAGATAGACCCGCACAATGGTGATAAATGCTCTTCACAGGACTACAGTCTTTCTTCCCTCCGATAGTGGAGAAAGAAAGCGAGCCAGGGGCTGCACCTAACTACTTTTTCCACCATCCAACTGTCTGAGCACCTCTGGCCAGCAGTAGAAACCCGCAGATATGAGAAGTGCAACCAGATGATATCTTTCCGTGAGCTTGGCCACTTCTTTTCTCTTTCTTACGAACACAGTCATTAATATTTCCCAGTAAATTATGTGGCAAAATACCTTAAGCAAGTAGCATCAAAAAGAGTAAGTCTGATCCTCAAGAGCCTCTAAAGGGGAGGGAACAGGCACTCAGGTATGCTATGTTGTTATATCTGACAGCAGAGCAACACCTGAATGTGGGTTCCTTTGGTCCAAGAAAAATTTCCTGGGGGATCTCATGGCTGTTCAGTCAGCACCATCTGCTAAAATGTAGAAGTGCATGTGCCTTTTGCCTTGAAAGGAGGAGGAAACTGTGTCCCACCCTGGACACTTGCAACGTTCCACCAGAAGGGGATCCACTAAATGATAACAACCTGCAGAAGTGGGCAGGCTACCTTTGTGTTTCTCCCTCTCCAGAAAACAAGAAATGAAGAGTGCAGGAGTGCAAAGTTGTTTTCAGTGCTAGATCTCTGCCAGCTGGAAGCCATGACCATTTACCTGTAGATTCCATACAAAGAGCTATTCCTGATG